CCCCCCCCCCCCCCCCCCGAGGACAATTCCCAGTAGCTTTCTTACCTGCTCTTCACCGGGAAAAATCCTGGCGTGCTCCACCTTCAGGTGCTCCAGAAAGGCGTCGCGCACCTAAGAACATACAAAAAAAGAATAGAAAGGTGTAGGCAAGAATTGTCTCGGATAAGGAAAATTTAGACAAACTTCCTAATGAAGTCGGGTAGACCCTTCCGTGATTGAACGAAAGCATATGGTATGGTATACGAGTAATTTCAGCGACAAGAGTCACGAGTATGCGCCTCGCGGGGAAACTTAAGCATCAACGGGTGACATCGACTCTGCTGAGACGTATCGTAGACACATCGAGCACCCACCAGGTTCTGCTGAAAAGCAGAAGAATCGCGTGGAATGGATGGACACGTGTTCCGAGTCGGCTCACACAGGAAGAGCGATGATTACGGCAGTAACCCGAGCAAAGAAAATCAAAAGCCTCCTTCTCTTGTGTGTTAAACCCGGAGAGGTTAACGTCTTGGAAACACGGCAAGCTTGGGATTCGGGTAGGGGGGGGGGGGGGGGNGGCGAGGGAGTATGAATATGAATATATTGTCAAGGCACAAGGATCGCTGCCACCACCACCACCACCACCAACAACAGCAACAGCAACGACAGATGTATACAATCAGTTGTTCTCGGCTTCTGGAACAAGACGAACGGAGCGGCGGCTACGATAGTGCCACATACAACAATGCACCCGTTGTTGCGGACACACATTCGTTTTGGTCGAAAGCTGAGATAAAAAAAAAAAAGATACAGGAAGCATCAGCATTGCTTTGCCAAAACCTGCAGAGGGGATGGAGGAAGGAGGAACGTCCAGCACGTGGCGTGATCGACACCAACCCGCTTGTGTGGACAAAAAAAAATATCCCCCAAGAAATGCTGCGCACGAGCAACACACATCACAGCGTCCCCCCGGACACGCCTGCCTCTTGTCGCGTTGACACCCAACGCAAACAGTGCTGACCTCACCTTGTGGTGGATCAACACGTGGTCCGGCGCAATGCACACTTGACCGGCGTTGACATTCTTGTAGTAGGCGATGCGCCTGGCGGCAACCTGTAAATCAGCGCTCTGCGCCCCCCCCCCCCCCCCCCCCCCCCCCCCCCCCCCCCCCCC